TGTTTTAGGTTGTGTGAGTTGGGCGGATTTGTCGGTGGTGGTTATATATTACTGTTTTCTAAATGTAGTGTATATATAAAATTAACAATCTCTCGTTTACTCATTTTGCCTTAGTTTTTAATTGTCTAATTTAGTAATTACCATAACACTAATTTATGCGTTTATTTCACTCAACTTGAGGGCATATTTGAAGCAGATGATGTAAATAAGACAGGGATTTTTCGAGGAGTAGTCAAAATGTAGTGAAAAAGATATCAGTATTTTGTAGAGCTGAGTATCGCCTGGTATCTTGCAATATGAATTGCGTCATGGTATGGACTGACGATACCGGTACTACTGGTAAGAAAGGATGAAGTCAATGAAATACAGCTTTAAAACCTCTTTCTCCGGACATTTATTCATAGTTATCTGAAAAACTTTGACATAGAAAACCACAACATCAAAACAGTTCTAAATAAAGGATGGTTATTAAAGGTGACAGTTAGTTGGCCCGTCCTCGTGTTCTGCGATGGGTTGCGATGTTCTGCTTTTACCATTACAGGAGGTAACTCTATCAGTTCCTGTACTATTTATAGAGTATTGCGATCTCACAAACTGACAATTCAAGTATCGTGTGTACCTAACTATCGATGATATGGTAGGTACCAGTGAATCATTAACACCCTAGTATTTTCTTCATATGTTGATGAAGTCATGTTTTGGTGAGGTGAGGTGAGATGGGGTTTACCGTCGCGTCCAAGTTTATTGCACTTACATAATGGTGTGTGTGTGTGTGGGGGTGTGGGTGTGGGTGGGTGTGAGTGAGTGTGGGTGTGAGTGAGTGGGTGGGTGTGTGTGTGTGTGTGTGTGGGTGGTTTGGTGGGTGGGTGTGAGTGTGTGTGGGGGTGTGGGTGGGGGTGGGTGGGTGTGAGTGAGTGTGGGTGTGAGTGAGTGGGTGGGTGTGTGTGTGTGTGTGTGGGGGTGGGTGGGTGGGTGTGAGTGTGTGTGTGGGTGTGGGTGGGTGGGTGGGTGTGAGTGTGGGTGTGTGTGTGTGTGTGGGTGGGTGTGGGTGTGAGTGTGTGAATGTGGGTGTGAGTGGGAGTGGGTGTGTGTGTGTGTGAGTGTGAGTGTGTGAATGTGGGTGTGTGGGTGGGTGGGTGTGTGTGGGTACATGCTTGTAGTAGTCTGGACTGATGCCGATTTACAGTGCCGAGATATCATGGGGCAGTTTAACATGAATACCCCACTCAGAAACAGTATGCTGACTCCGAGTCAACCAGTCCTTAGTATGTATGCCAGACAAGGCAACAACAACAACCATGGTATGACACGGCTGGGGATCCAGGCTTCTGCTCTCCAGGCAGATGCTATACCACTAGGCCACTGAGGTGGTCGAAGTCATGTTTGGTGTTCATGGTTGTTGGACATACTTTTGTGAACATTCCATGGACTTCTATCCAGTAAAAAAACAAATGGCAATCTGCTTTAGAATTGGGAATAAACTGTTCATCAACATGTCCATTTGCCGTAGTGGAATACTGCTTCTTGTCTGTAATTCTTGTATTCTAAAGCCCAAATCATGCTGATTGAATAATGTTTTTTGTGCACTCACTCATTGATTTGTATTTTAGAAGTTTTCACTCTGTACAGTGTCTGTAAATATAGTTCACTGATTTGTTGTCTTATTCGAGAGATGTTCAGCAATTAGTTGTTTCAAATGTGATATGCCCCCCTAAACCTCTATTGTCTAACCAACATCATGCTTGGGGGAATTTGTATGTATAACAGTAGGTTCTGGACAAGTAGGAATGCCCCTATTTTGATGTAAACAAATTTTTATTTCAACTGAAAACTGGGATCGTTAAACAAGACAACGCTTATTTTAATCCCTCTCTTTACATAGAAATCAGGTAAAAAAAGATGGTCAAGGTGTCCACATAATATTTACACAACAAAATACCTTGGTGGTCAGTAAGCCTGTGAAGATCCAGGATAGAATAGGTCTTCACCAACCCATGCTTGCCATAAGAGGTGGCTATTCTTGTCATAAGAGGCGACTAACGGGATCTGGTGGTCAGACTCGCTGACTTCGTGGATGCATGTCATCGAATCTCAATTGTGTGGATCAATGCTCATGATATCAATCACTTGATTGTCTGGTCCAGACTCGATTATTTACTGACCGCCGTCTTATAGCCGGAATATTGCTGAGTGCGGCATTAAACAACAAACAAACAGTTAGCTAGCATGATCAGCAGTGTTTGGTTTGGATAGTCAGAATGATGGGATTGTACGTAATATTAAGCACTACATAATGTCCATCTCCACGAGGCAAGTGAGTTAACTGACTATAAAAGTCCAGTTTCCACCCTTGCCGAACTAGGCTGGTATTATAGAACTAGGCTGGTATTGGTATTATGGAGTTAGATTTTGGCTGTACTAACGAGTCTATGCATAGTCCAATCAAAATCGCGCACCGAAATCGAAATCCGGTTCGTAGAGTGTCATGCAGATTTCGGTCGACTGCAGGATTTTGCAAAGCATGTGCACCGCTAACTCGTTGTCAACAGATATTTTCTAAATCTTTTCATGTTTTTAATCAAGGTGCTCACGTGATTTGATGCACTTCGCGATGTAAGACTCGTTCTATCACAATATAGATCTTGATTATCGATCAGATCATCTTGACTGGGCGCCACCGTTTTGTTTGAAACAAATGCAAGTGATACGAGAGGTTGAATCTGATTGGTCAATAGGAGAGGCATAGAAAGGACATAACTCGTAATAGCCACTGGTGGCGCTACGATCGAGCCAAGGAATTCCAGCCTAGTTCGGCAAGGGTGGAAACTGGACTTTCAAAGTCAGTTAACTCTCTTGCCTCGGGAAGATGCATAATGTCCACAAGGTACGCATATTTGTATTACTTAAGTTTCAATCTACTAGAATTTGCGATGAAAATATTTGACAGATTTGCTTCAGATGATAGGCCTTCACATCCGTAAAGTACTGTATTAATATCATATCATGTATGTAATGTAATAAATTGCTTCTAATTTGATCAGAATTGTAACAAAAAAGAAGTAGTGTAGCAGGTCTTCATAGTAGTGACTTAAGGAAAAAACGGGACTGTCAGTTATGAATCTATCAATTGATGTCCGTTTAGGTCACTGGATCTGAGTGAGGCGGCAGGCGATATTTTGACAGAAACTAGTTAAAAAATTTGTATCATAAAAAAATGTTTGTTATTGTAAGTGCATAATAATACATTTCGAGAATTTGAGTATGAGCCAGTAGATTTAATTTCTTCGTAAAGATTATATGTAAAAGAGTTTTAGTACACAATTATTGTACCTCCAGTCTTTGGCTCGTAAGCTTATAATCACCGGCAATTTCCGGAAGAAATCGTAAATGTCATTTTTTTCCTATTTTAAATAAAGCCTTTCTCTGCAATTTATAAGAATGGCAGAACTAATTAATTTCCATATTCAGTTTATTAATTAGTAGTATTTTCTCTTTCTATATCTCGTAACGAAAATGTTCCACATTTTCCCATGGTGCATTTTTTGTTATCATCTCATCTCGCGCCAAGCTCATGCTGGGTTATAGCGAAAACGGCACCTCAGCAAAACGTCACCGGGTGAAAACGGCACCGATTGGCGAAAACGGCACCTCGACTCGAGCGAAAACGGCACCTTATTATTTTTTTTTACCTTTGTCAATAAATGATATTAAACTTACATTGTAACTTGCAAGCGCCAATAATTGTGAGATGTTAAAACAAGTTTACATTAGATATTAGCCTCTACTCCAACTATAATCCAACTTAGCTTATACGCAACTCAACTTATTGTGAAAACATAACATGCTTTGAAGAAAAATAATAGAAATTAAACTCACATCGTCTCTTACAAACACAAATAATTGTGAAATAAAACAAATAAGAAATTAGCCCCCTACTCCAATTTACTCACCGACTCCGATTGGGAGGCGTAGTTAACTTATTGTGAAAACACTATACGCTTTGAAGTTTTAAGTACCAATACTCAATTTAAGCTGAAACTGTATTTAAGAGGCCAAACATGATGCTGTCAGATCACAATTATTCACAATGGCCTTTCGATGTGTTGCATGCGAGAAGACTGTCAGAAGAAATCAACATGCCGTATCATGTGATAACTGTGACCAGTGGACCCATCGAGTATGTGGAACAGGACTTTCTGTGGCTCGTTACAGAGAAATTTGCCGGAATGAAGAAGACTTCCCTTTCCGCTGTGTAAAATGTCCCGTCATTGAAGAGGTGGTCGGCAACTTTGATATCAGTTTCCAGTCAGAAGATGCTGATGAAATGAGAGTCCCCAACCTATCTGAAATCCACATTACGGCTTCAGATTTGCTCTTAGAAGACGAAGACGACCGTAACAAGTAACTATTTCATTTCAAAGTATTTGCCACACAAAAATGAAATAATGATAATAATAATAATAATAATAATAATAATAATGATAATACCAATAATTCATATATAGTGATATATTATTATATTTTTTTATTATTTTTTTATTATTATTTTTTAGTTCAATAAGAGATGTCACCATGCTGGAGCCCCCTTCTGCCGACATACCAGAGAACACCGCCACTGCCACCCCCCCCAGCCAGGACAGTTGACAACAATTCAAGTCCGAGTTGAGGTATTGATACTGTTGTTATAACTGATTGATGTAATTGTTCTCGGTAATTTACAATAAGCTCTCAATTATAGTTTATTGTTACAGTAAAGTAATTGAACGTATTATGTTTTAGGTAAAGGAACAAGCTGTGGAAAACCTATACAAATCAGGCGCAAGAATAGTTGAAGATGCCCAACAGAGACTAGCTGACCCTGATCAGGCTGGCGGTCGCCAAAACCACTCGACACTGATTCGCATGGCGAACCGAACCAGGGAACTGTTGCGCCCCAAAGAACCGAGGACACTGGACTTCGAGGTACTACTTATAATAAATTGAACTAAACAATGCTATTATTCAAATTCATAGAATAACCGAAATGTTGTAACATAACGAATATTGTATTTTAACACATTTATATTTTTTCAGATTGCCGAGGACTTCTTACCCGAAGGCTTCGTCCGTGGCGACATAATTCACAAGGATGAGAGGCATATCATGCTTGCTACTGACCGGCAATTACAGCACCTAAGTAGGAGTGGTCAATGGTTTATGGACGGAACGTTTAAGATTGTCAAACGTCCGTTCCATCAACTGCTGACCATTCATGCTTTTGTGTGTGCCGGCAGTAACTTCAAGTTGATGCCTCTTGTGTTTGTAATTATGTCAAGGCGTCGAACATCGGACTACGTCAAAGTCTTGAAGAAGCTTTTAGATCTACTCCCCAACGATCCTCAAGTCAAGACGATAATACTGGACTTTGAACAGGCTGCGTGGAAAGCTATTAGCAAGACCCTACCAGAAGCCTGCATCCGTGGATGCCTGTTCCACCTGACTCAGGCAGTCTGGCGGAAATGTCAAGAAATTGGATTGCAGGTATAATATATATTTAATGTATTGTAAAAAAAAGAAGAACTGTAATAGAAATAGATAGTAACATATATCTAATCTAATATATCTTATTTATCTCATATGTCTTACATAATTTTTTCACTTGTTTCTAGGTAGCCTACATGGAGGATGATGCCATCCACAAGTTTGTCCGAAAAATCATGGCACTCCCCTTTCTACCGGCCGCTGACATCACGAGGATGTTTTTGAAGATAACCGAGCGTGTCCCGGCCACTGGCAAACTGCGTGACCTCATCAACTATTTTCAAGCCCAGTGGATTGCTCATCCCACCTTCTCTCCCCGATCCTGGTCTGTGTTCAATGTAGCTGTCAGGACAAACAACTTTGTGGAAGGTAATAAAAAATAATACAAATAGTTCAAATACAAATGCAAACAATAAAAATAAAGTATATTAAACGATAAAAATGTTTTTATTATACATTAAAATTTCTTTCTCTCATGTTTTAGGTTGGCACAGACGCATCAACAACAAGGTGGGTGAGCAGTCCCTGGGGATCTACAGGTTGATCCCAGAGCTGTTCCGAGAGGCCAGTCTGTTGCCTTTACAGTCGCGACTGATTCAGGAGGGACGACTCAGGGCGTATGTTCGGAAATCTTCAACATCTCGTCAAGAGGAGATCTTCGACGTATGGCGGAGATACAAGGATGGGGATCTCTCCCTGAGACAAGTACTTTCACAATGTTCTGTTGTGCATGGACCGATTTTGTGAAGAGGATGATGATGATGATGATGAAGATAGACATGTATATATGAACATATTTACTGAGAAGAGGAAATACAATGTAAATCACCAATGAAATACTATATTAACTTATATCTCTGAAAAGAGGAAATGTTAATACATCACTAATAAAATCCCATGTAAATAAACACTATATATTACTACAAAAATCGTTGTTATCGTTATTAAAAATAGAGGTGCCGTTTTCGCCCGACTCATAGTAGCCGTTTTCGCCAAATGCGGTGCCGTTTTCGCCAGAGAAATCGGTGACGTTTTGCTGAGGTGCCGTTTTAGCCTGCACCCCTCATGCTGATGTAGTGTCTTTTCCCAGCAAGCCATTTTCAACATTTATACTTCATTTCCCAGAAAATAACGAGTAAGTACGCTCCCCATGCTGGCATCCTATTACTGTGATGTTTGTGATTTGTTTGCATAGACAACATAGTTGTATTTTGCTGTAGTTTTATTTTGTGAACCGCAATGCGCCGTGAGACTGCTATCCTCGCGCATCCCGTGCCATGTGACTATTCTGTTTGGTGCATATGTTAGCAGAATTGAGTGTTGTCATCCGAATGTATTTGCGTTTTCATATAGTATTTTAGTTACTGTGTAAAACACAGTACGTAAAATGATTTTAAATGACCATTACCAGTCGCTTAGCATAGGTGTTTCATGAAAAACACGAGTTTATCAGTTAGCTCCCTTTGCCCTTTGTTTACAATTGTTTCACTAGTAATCGCCCTCGTGCACTTTCAGTTGTTAATGTCATCGTCTCATCTAAATTTATATACTTACAAATTGTTTAAAGACTTTATTCCTATTTATCATTAAAGTAATCATAACGTTTTAGCTTTTGTAGTAAACTGTAATCCGATAGCACTTACCACGTTGGCGATGTAAACACAGGAGTTACTTCCCTTAGCTTCAGGAATTGTCAACTGTGTCTCGTGTCGTTTTGGATGATGATGTCGAGGTGTTGCGAAAGTAGGTGAATTAGTTTTCCTTTTTGTATTTTAACCTAGTCCGTGAACCTAAATGTTTTACTTCGTAGACTGATAATAATATCACAATCTAGACTGTGTGGTGTTGCATTACTGATTATTGTTGGAGACAAAACCATAACAGTAGTTTTGTTTTCCTGCATAGGAGTCACCATGGAGATGTGTTGCTCCATCTGAAGTGTCTCAGCTGTTTGTAGACTCCTTGGGGGTGAGTGCTGATCAGCAGCTACATTAACAATATTTCAACTTTTAATTACCAATCTAGTCACTGTCCATTTTTTATTATCAGTATTAAGTCGTATTCAACTATATCATTCTATTTCATCAACCTGTTATTTCATATAACATTCCTTAGTTGTCACCATGTTGGTATGAACTATTCAGTGTAGGATATGTTGGTTTATCATGTAATTGAAATGAATTTTCATCCTGGTGAATGTAACATCCTGACGGGAGAAATATCTACGTCTGAATAATATTGTATGAAGTTTGTTATGAATTGAAAAGCTTTTTCACCATAATAACTTATGTACACTGTTACCATATGGCCATGTTTATAAGAAATGTTATGTGTATTTGTTTTAGGTTACGCCATGGGTGGCTACGATTCTAGCTACTACGGCGAATAAACGAGTTTGAAGAGAGATATTTTGCTTGGTCCTCTTTAACCCCCCACATATACTCTTATTTTGTAGAGTTAGGTGTAAAGGATTTTGTATAATGTTGAATCTTTCATCTAAAAGTTTGTAATCACTACGAGTGTTAGCTTGGTCTGGGATACGGTTGCAGAGATAAGCTGGTGCTGAGTTATTTACCATTTTGTAGAATAAAGATAATGATTGATTTTTGGGTCTTAGTGACAATGCTTTCACATTTGTTTCTGTATACAATTTTTGTGCTTATGCCCTTTGTTGCACAACATGCAGTGTTCCCGCTTGATTTTGAAACTGCCAGTCCTGGTGGACTGTCAACACCACAAATTACAATTCCTCCCTAATTTTTGTTAGTCCCAACTTTCAATAAATTAAAAATGTACAAAATTTACCTGGTTTTAATTCCCTCAACATGTTCAATGCAATGATGTCATCTCTATAGTAACATACTTAGATCTACAAGTCATTCATACAAAGTTCAGTCACACTTTTCTCTCTCTTTTTTGAATATTTCGAGACAAAGTCGCTACACATATTTAACCTCGAAGCAAGGCAAAATGTTATTTCCTTCCACTAAAAGTTGACAAGGGGAAACCCTGATGGTAACAGACAAGCTGACTTTGTTCGGAAAAATTTAAATATTGCTTATGTTTTGTTCAACAACAAAGATTTTTATAAGGTACTAACTATATTTGCCGCTCAACAGGGACTGGCAGTCACATGAATTACCGGTCCAAGCCTAATTTGACCTGTAAAAAACTGGTAATTACCGGTAAATGGGAACACTGATATGGTTCTTAGAGCATCCAGATTTAATCTTTCCAGTGTCAGTTTGTGATTTTGTAGTACAATTATTCCCAATTTAACTACAAATAATCAATTTTTTTGTTTTTTATTGCTTATGAAATGAAGTACCTGTTACATAAAATGGGCTTCCGCCCAGGGCAGCAGAAAGACATGACATGTAGCACAACTTATCAGCACATCTTAGATTTCAATGGAAAATAACATACTTCTTACTCACACATTCACTTTAGTAATACAATCATACTGCATATATTAAGTATGCATTAACTATTAAATCTTGTATATCATATTGCATTGCAGGAAAGTACATGGTCTCAAATATTACATTCTTAAGTATAAAACTGACATTAAAATGAAAGCTGCTACTGGTTTTTGAAAAGTTTAACAAGTGGGTAATTGTTTCCTTTTCATTGTGACAGAAGGAGCACTCATCATTTTAATTAAGTACACACAGAAAAGAATTAGTAGTGAGAATTCTGTGGGTAAGTTTGTATTGAAATCAACACTGTTTTACATCCTGTTTTGTACTAAATATTTTATTACAGATATTGTTCCAATTTCAGTTTTCAAATTGTAACTCCCACTTTTCCTGCCCTTTAGTGTTTACTTCTGTAGCAAGGGGGCTCAGGTAGGGTGAATATTTTTTCATATGTAAAATCTCTTAAAGCCACATGAATAAGGAAACTTGTGTCCCCAGGTGCACCTATTTCAATCTACACATCCTTATATCTGTAACATTTTTTGAGAGAAAGTAATGTGTTTTGGAAAAGTTGGTCATTTATAGTGTTTCATGAAAAAATCAAGCCAGAATCTTTCAGTAGTTTTTTAACTGAAGCAGTTTTTCATAACCCTTATATTAAATGTAGCGCCAAGAAACACAGTGTGAATCTCTCACCGTCAGTTTATTCATGTTTTCTAATTCTCATCGTTGCAGAGTTACCGTTAGCATTATCAAATACCTACGTTGATGAGGAGGAGGTTCAGAAAACTACAAAAAGAAACAAAACACTTGCTCAGTTTTCAACACAAACCTGAACCATTCAAAGTATACAAATATTCAAATTCAAAGTTGCATCATAATAATTACTTAAATGAAATGTTTCTGCTTAGATCATTTGTACATAAAGACAATGTAAAGATGAGAGAACAAAACTCACATCTGTTAACACAGGGTAACAACACGTACCATTGTTTAACATCGTTTGGTATGCTGCGGACGGGGATTGAACCCCGGACCTTCCGCTCACTGGGTGAACGCTAGACCATGGGTGAACGCTAGACCATGGAGTCGGTCACTTAACCAAGGACACTTGTGGACTTTAAAATATTTTAAAATATCATAAATAACTGATACTTTTAATAATGTGAAACGTTAGACTGCTCGTACATTAAAACTATTTGTTTCTGGAAATATTGGATAAGGGTATCCTCAAATTATAAACTTGGTCAAGGCAGATAAGAAGTTTCTATCATATAAGGAATGTAATGAAATTTATGATATCTGTTCATCCTATTTAGAATTTTAACTATTTGTGGTTCCAAGTCATGAATGCATATTTATTGTTCATTTGTTTCTATAGATTTATATAATTTTCACTACTATTTTGCCTTATTTGCTCAATGGAATCTGTTTCAGGGAATATTCAAGACTGGCTATTCTCTGGCATTGACATTTTATATTAACTGTTGGTCATGAAGCAGTAGGATCACCAGTGCAGTTTCTGATTTGCATGTACAATGTATCCTGTGTTCAACAAAGTGTTCAATTCCATTCAGGATGGACAATAAAACACTTCAAAAGTACAGAAGATGGGGCTGTGAGTGGCAGTGGTGAGTGTTGTCTAGGACGGGCTATCAGAGGAGTTATGGGGGTGTCAAATATGGCCAGGTTAATGTTAAATTAACCGCAAATGGCAAATGGAGAGCTGTTCATGTTCACGAGATAGTCTACATGATAGCTACCAGCCAATTCAGTTCAGGTGCAATGTACCTGTGGAAACACCTGTGGGGTGGGGGGCACCTGTTACTGGAGACCCACCCCATGAAGCTCACCCCATGAAGGTCCTGCATGGACAGTGGTGGGGTGCCAAGATGCTTGGTGACCCTCAGACTGTGACAAGGCTTGTTTTTATTTGATGGCTAACAGATGTCTGACTAACTGAGAAGTGGGAATACAAACAAGATTATGATATTTGTCATGACATCATTTGGGTGAGTTGGTGAAGTAGACAGAAAATGATGATAATTTGACTTAGGCTGCAGGATGTGTCTATGTTTGCAGGTCATGTAAACATGCATTTAACTTTTGTCAGGAAGTTTCTTCTTTTTATCTGGTGTTATCAGTGACCAAAGATTATATACATTATTCATGACAAAAGCAAAGACCGGTAAATGACGATACAAGTGTACTTATATTATGTTTTCGGTTTGTGGCTTCTGACTTTGGCCTGGAGATGTTTAATTGTGTTACTATGGTTACATGAAGTGGGAGATCTGTAAACCAACAAACTAAAGTGTTGCCAAATCTTCATGTAAGTGTGTTACCTTCGTTATGTTACAGTTTTTTATGATTTCACCCACATTAGTGTAGAACCAATAAAGTGTGTCTCAAACATGAATGGCAGTTATGTTCATGTCTAGCCTCTTTTGATCACCAGTATGATCAGGGAGAGGTTTTGTAGTTTGTAACTCTCTGAACCCAAACATGACTTGAATAGTGCAGATGATGGGAGAACGGCCTTCCCTCCCCGGACCAGGCCCAGCTCCTATTAAGTAAAGCTTTAGCAGTTGCTACATTTTACAAGCCAAACATGGTGATCCAGTAATGGACATCACATAATTGATAAAACTTAAGACCTCCATGGAACCATTGTCAGGAGCTGGACCTAGTCCAGGGCGGGGTGAGGCCGTACCGCCATCGTCTATACTACTGGTTGTATAACGCTGGGAGACTGCATGAGTGAGTGAGTAATAGAATGTTGTTACAAAAGGAGAGAGTGAGTGAATATTGTTTTCCAACCCTGTTAGTGATATTCCAGCAATATCAGGGAGTGGACACAAACAAGCGGGTGACGAGCGACTGCTTCAACCACTAGGTTACCCTACCACCCATTAAAAGAAAGAAAGATAGGCAAGACATGGTCTGAGATGTGTGTCAGTATCGCATATGGACATGAGATGTGTGTCAGTGTTGTATATAGACATTAGACATACGTGTGTCAGTATATTTCATAGTATGCCACACACTACCATAGGCACCATTCACCATTGTTACAGCTGTTATTGTGTTGTAGGAGGAGTGAGTGAGTTGGGTTTAACGCCGCTTTTAACAGTATTCCAGTTATATCACGGCGTGTCAGCTTAATGTGGGAGGAAAGCCCGAAGTGATGCAGGTCTCAGACGTTTACCACTTCAGTGAAACCCACGAGCACGGGTATGGTGCTGACAAACCTAGAAACATAATCGGGGCGAACCGGGATTCGAACCCACAATCATAGGTTTCTGGCGTGCCCAAGGGACGCAACTCTGCACAGCGAGTCGCGGCGCCTTAGACGACTGGGCCACCCGTGCCCCCTGTTGTAGGGGGAGTATTTGCAGCAACAGACATATGAGGATAATGTTACTGTAAACAGTATGAGGTTTATTCCTCCTATAATGGGTACGGTCCATTGATTTGCTGACAAGTACTCAGCATTTCTCTAAGGGACTGAAAATAAATTAAATATTCACAATAATTGATGACAGCATTGTAGCAGGACTGCCCACAGACCACAGACACTACGGTGTTTCATCAATGGCCAATATTTATTTGCAGAAATTCGAATGTGATTTTAAAGAAAAACCACCCTGAAACAATCAGGTATACAATATAGCACATATAAAACAATACACATATCATAAACACAGATATATGTACATACAATTCATATGCATACTAGTATGATGAGATACAGTACAGGGTATTGTTGTAAATGTACTGGGTAGAATATATTTATGTAAATGTTAATTAGAAACGTATTCTGTCTTGATATATGATCAAATACATACACTAGATAATGACATGTAAACGACAACATGTAAACAACAAGTAAACCTACCAGGTGTGTGGGCCTGGGTTGATATCACACCTGGGGACGATGCCCCGCTAAGTTTCTGCACAGTAGTGCAAAACTCGTCTGCAGAGGAAATAATAATATATACAGTACATGCAGACGTGCCAATAAGAACAAATACTTTCTATCATATATACATGTAGCTGAACATGAAAGAAATATTATAAAATGCCTCATGCATTCATTTATGTTTACCTTCATTCATTCATTTATGCTTACTTTCATTCATTCATATATGCTTACTTTCATTCATTCATTTATGCTTACTTTCATTCATTCATATATTCATACCATGCATGCTTGCTTAGCCTTACCTCTTTTATCACAAGTAACCTCTATCATTTCTAAAACTACTAATCTTACTTTTTAGTTTAAAGCTTATATATGTTTTAATGAATGTAGAATACTTATTTGGTTGAGTAAACTCAATGAAATTACGAATCTACATTCCGTCGTGTCTAAACACACATATGCTCCAAATACAAACAATATCTACAATATTGCAAATACAATTCAATGAATAAAATCCTCAATTCAATAATACAATACTAACCTTGGAATTTGATCTAAGGTTCCCCAATAACGATCCTTGTGAAAAAAAACCGTGAATATATATATATATATCTTTATCCATGGAGAGGTATATGTGGAGTGACCACAGTCCTTAGGTGTCCAGCACACAGCATGGCTGAGTACCCAAGCTGGCCATATAGACAAAAGGCTTGAGTAGGGAGAGGGCTGGGGCTATTGTGTTAGTTCACAGGGTGTGACATTCACAAACAAACCATGCAGTAAGCATGCTTAGTAAGAGTGCTGTGACTGATGGTTTAGTGTTAACAGTAGGCTGAGCAATAAGATAGAATGACTACAACTGCATTTAATTATGTACATGAATTATACTTAAAAGGTAAAATACAAGAAATGGTCACTGCCACAGCATCAGCAGCATTTTCCATAGCCTCAGCTGTGGGTGTAAGAAAGGGTATCAGTGAGTGAGTGAGTTGGGTTTAACCCCTCTTTGAACAGAATTCCAGTTATATCACCCTTGTGTCAGATTAATGTGGGAGGAGACCCAGAAGTGATGCAAGTACCCAGACAAATAGTAGCATTATCCGCATACTTTGACAGGTAACGATTGATGAAACCATATATGCAGCCCTGTGAGTGTACCACGAGGCTACAGAGGTGTTGATAAGCCTCACTGGTTTTTAGAATGTCCTTTTCAAGATCCGTACGCCAGCAACAGATATTTTACGCGCGTTTCCTAAGGTTCATGGAAAGTATGTTCGAAACATAAAAATGTTGATAAATGTTGTTTTAAGTTTCTTTTTTTCGGTTTATAAGCATGGAAAAACACTTCGCCCCCTTGGTTTTTCCCTCTCCCCAGGGCATGCTCTGTCTACCAAAACCTCGTGAGCGTGTTTTCTCCAATACTTATTAACTCCACATGGTTGAACATGATATTTATTGTCAAACTTGGAAATCGGAACTTAAGCACTCTAGGATTTTAATGGTAGATGTTTTTTGTTTTTTTATCAAGTTGTGAGAGAGATGCCGCTTTGTTGATGTGACGCAGTTGTTAATATAGACTGTCAACAGGATGGAAAGGCTATTTTAGATCATTATTGAGTCCCCATGTGGATTTTTGACAAACTAATAGCCAATAAGTAGTCTACTAGTAACCATTGTATATCTATACTCACTAGTGTTTCACAAAATATAAATGCTTTGTGAATTAAGCAAACCATGCTCTCTCAATTATAGGCTCGCGTTAAAATATGATAAAAAAGTAACCATGATATACTGAGAATGAACATGTAAAAACATATGTCTTGGTGAAATGTGTTTATATTACTAGCCTAATAAAAAAATGTAATAAATAAATTACCAATATTTCTTACAAATACAACGTAGCATAAACGGTCTCAAAATGCAGGGAATAGGGTTTAAGAGCATCTTATTTGTGCAATTGCAAAATTGGTATTGCTTACACTTAAAATAAAGCTAGTTGCGCCCCTAGAGGCTCGTGTCCTAATTCTACTCTGATTCCCCGATGTCCTCCATAGCGCACACACTATCACAGCCCTTCTCGTGCAGCCGAGATGTCCCTCACTCAACACCAGCACTGGCTCCGGTCCTAGTTCTACTCTGATTCCACGATGTCCTCCATAGCGCACACACACTATCACAGCCCTTCTCGTGCATCCGAGATGTCCCTCACTCAACACCAGCACTGGCTCCGGTCCTAGTTCTACTCTGATTCCACGATGTCCTCCATAGCGCACACACTATCACAGCCCTTCTCGTGCAGCCGAGATGACCCTGACTCAACACCAGCACTGGCTCCGGTCCTAGTTCTACTCTGATTCCCCGATGTCCTCCATAGCGCACACACTATCACAGCCCTTCTCGTGCAGCCGAGATGTCCCTGACTCAACACCAGCAATGGCTCCGGTCATGCTCCGTGATCGTAACCAAGCAGAGTATTCTTGACACATGAATATATGTTGCGTACATAGTTAACCAGGTTGGAACAGTCTCAACATTTTATACTGAATCTACAGATAATGTCTAACGTACGATGTTACGATACAGCCACTTGACATATGATGAAAACACGCACAAAACAGCGGGTATTAGAGTAGACCAAAAGGCTTATTGTAGCGTTGTCTTTGAAACCAAAGCGTTTGAGTGTCTCCTTAACTGAACGAGAAGTAACCACGGCTGTTGTTCATTGATGTACGAGGAGAAATGGCACATTTACCGTTATATGATAACGTATTCAGTTCGTTTGAGTCATGAAACTTCAGGAAATTAATTAATACAGTTTTTAACTATTTGTTTAACCCATGAAGACCTGGGTTTGGAAAAGGTCTTTAGCAACTAATAATTGCCGTGAAAGGCAACTGTGCTTGTAAGAGGCGACTAACGGACTGGGTGGTCAGGCCCGGTGACATGGTTGATGCATGTCATCGTATCCCATTTGCGTAGATCAATGCTCATGATGCCAGTCACTGGACTGTCTGGTCCAGACTCGATTATTTACAGACCACTGCATTTTGCACATGCAGAACAGTTATATAACAATACATAGCAATCATCTGGCTTTACCAATATGTAACCGTCCTTGTGTTGGCCGATAATGGAGTAGGTGATCTACTGGCCAAATAAGTCACAAACAGCTGTCGGGGGTGAGGCTGATGACGTTTATTTTATAATCAGTACGAATGTACGTACTTAATTTCAGTCTGAAACAATAAAAGTACAACATAAGCAAATATAACATAGAAATAAATATATACAATCCGTTATAGTTACTCTTTAAATTTCTAAAATATATATATATATCACTTCCATTAAAATGAATAACATTTACTTTACATTACACAATACATCAGACGTATCCGTACAATACATCAATACACAGATACAAAATATATTAATATGATATAGAGTGATAACGAACATTACATACCAGATAGGTGATACCTGAACTGGTAATACCGTGACAATGATCAAACGGTGAACGTTGCCACTGAGAAATCTGCATAATAAAGAAATACAAATGCAGAATACTATATACAAGTGATATCCTATGGTAAAATAGTGTATAAAAATATATAGTACAGCAGCCACTCATTTCAGACATACAGTTCTCATACATTTGCACTTACCAACATAAATCAAGCATACAGACATACATTTACTTTCCATTACTGTCCAGAGGGGTTTATATTACTTAGTTTATATATATATATATATATATATATATATATATATATATATATATATATATATATATATATATTTAGGTTTTGTGTTTAATACTGTTTTATACAGATAATTACTCACTGAACTGTAAGTTCATCAAGCACTATAAATATATACAAGATGCATTATGTTTCTAATAAATCAAATTAAGAATGCATTCTACAATATATATTATTTCTAATGACAATAATTAGAAAACAATCATATATACAACATCATAAAATAAATAACCAACTAACCTTAAATATGAATAAATCCTTCTACAAATCCAAATCCTCACATAGAAATGAAAGCAGCAATAAATCTCGCAGAGTCTTTCCTTGAGGTGACAAATAGCAACTGATTTTCTAAAAATTCAAATACAAACATTGTTGTAGCTAAGGCCAGCTTGGCCTATCAACAAGACAATAGACTGGGCCGGGGCGTGCTGGGGCAAAGAGGGCTGTAAGTCAAAAGCATGCAGTGTGACAATTAGTGGAAGTTAGACTGAGAGTAAGCTTACTTAATGTTACAGAGCTATGGAATGAATGTTTAAGGTATAAAATACTAAAGAATAAAACATAACTAATATTATAACTAATAATATCTTCTTATGATATAAATATCGTAATAAACTAATCAGTTAAAATGGTAACAAGGACATATAACCTTACTACTAACTAATAAATCTTAATTAAAAGTATGTACATAATTGAGCCTGCCACAAATATACAAAAAAACATAATTGTGTAAACATCACGTTCAGAATATTGTTTAGGCTTTTGATATCTCATGATATCAAAGCGTATACAAGCTTGTATTGCTGGAGTGTTTTGGTAGCGAATGTACATACAACTCCAGTAAGAATGGATACAACAATCCCGCCGCTCTGGCTGCCCTGGCTGGCGTACGTCTCAACGGGGATACACATACACTGGGGTCGGAAAAGGCAATGATTCGATATATTGTAATTTATTTTTTTCGTAAACTTTATTTTACGCTACTTCAAGGTAAGAATTAGATCGTACACGCCATGTTATTTAAACATGGCGGTATTTACTATCATACTTATCCGTGAAGATTCGGGTTAAAACAGGTCTTCACCAACCAATGCTTGTCGTAAGAGGCGACTAACGGGATTACGTACACGGGATTGCGTCGTCAGGCTCGCTGACTTGGTTTATGCATGTAATCGTATCTAAATTGTTTAGATCGTTGCTCATATTGACAATAAGTGGATTGTTTGGTCCAGACTCGATTTTTGCACAGACCGCCGCCATACAGCTAGAATATTGCTGAGTGCGGCGTTTAATTACCCCCCCCCCCAAAAAAAAAAAAACACAAAAAAAACAAAAAAAAACACAACAAACAAACAAAAAACAAAAACAAATCAAAACAAAACAGAAAAAAACAAAGAAAAAAACAACAAAAATACAAAAGTATACAACAAATACTACCACACATGGCGTCATTTGTTCTCACCAGACATGAACAAACGTATGTTGTGCCCAAAACTACAATGGTCTTAAGTCTACAATATTCATGAGTGGGCGTGGCTTGTGTATGCACGTGACACTATCTTCCTCAAAGCTGTTAATGTCTAACGAACGCATCGCTGTCTCGGCTGTCATTGCGCGATACGATGTTTCCCTCACAATCTCTACATCAGGTATATAACATGTAGTTTATGTGTCTTTGAATATTGTGCTGGACTATATTTGCGAGCCTCGACTTCGGACAGATCGAAAGTTCCGAGAATTACAGAGTCAAACCAACTCGCCTCACTCCGAAACATTCGGTTGTGCACATTAGCCCTGATCGAAACATTGACATGTCTTTGCTATTACTTGCAGATCCAACACATTAAAAACCTCTTGTCATCATGCTCCATACTTATGCAATATACCTTTCTCTACTTGTTATATTCAAGAGCAAAGCAATCTCTGCGTGTGGCAAAAGTTGGTCAACTACAAGATGCAACTATATATTTTTTATTTCCGAAACCCTGAAAAGATTCCAGGGAGTAGATTCACATGGTGTCCCAGAAAAAGAGTTATCATGCTTGTGATATAAATATATAAAATAAAATCCAAATGGTGCCTAGAACAATGTTTATTAATCAGGCCCATGACTCAGGCAATTAGGACTTGCCAAATCATTCTAGACTTGAGTTGGCTCCCTTTCTCCATTTATTCTAATGTGTCTCTGAGACAGAGGTTCAGGAATGTGCAATCTTCTTTCTGGATAAAAATAACCATATGAACAGATTCTGAACAGAAAATGAAGTAAAAAGTATGAAATTCGATTCCATGTATTAAAGTGACACAACTTTAATCTCCAAACAAAAAATATATGATATGATGCCCTATTTGTATAAAATCTGTTTGGAATTTATTTTTCAAATTCAATATACATCTATGAATAACCATTTGGCAAATAATAAAATTAGATAAAATACATGATCAGTGATGATATTTTCCATTATTCCAGATAATAATAGATGAGCATCTAATTGGATCTAATTAGATATGAGCACATGCAGTTTAATGTTACTCAAGATGGAAGATCTGTTGAAAAGTATGAACAACATGAAATTAAAAAAACCCAGGTAAAATAGACATAACCGCATTGATCATGATCTGACAGTTTCATCAGAAATAAAAACAGATTTGTTGGTATTAATCATTGCAGAAGTCTTTACTGGAACTTTCTAAGTCTCAAGTAACTTGAAATGCTTTGACATAAGTTTAGTCCCAGTCAAGACTTCTATTTTTGTAAAGGTGCAATTTTTTCATCTAAATTGTTATTATGACATTCACTCTCTCTCCCATTTCAGAGAAAAAAATTGTGGCTTCCTTGGTGTATCAACGGAAACCCTTAAACCTGCTGAAAGTCTTAAGTCTACAATGATGGGATGGCCCCTCCCTGGACCCCCCAGGCAGTCATGGGCTGTTGCATAGGCTCCTCCTGATCCCTTTGACCATGCAAAACCCCATCTTGGCTGAAAAATTTCATTCACTCTCTCTCCCATTTCAGAAAAAATGGGTGGCTTCCTCGGCGCGTCAAGGCGACAGTCAGTGTACACCTCAGAGGTTCTTCCAGCTTGCCAGGTGAGCTTCAAACAGCCCAAGGCACCCTAGGAAACTGGTCAAAAATCAAATCCACCTTCTTTTTCTCTCTGTCCTTTTTTAAAGAGCTTGTGTAGACTTAAGACTTTCAGCAGGTTTAAGGGCAGCTATAGGAGCCCTTAAACCTGCTGAAAGTCTTAAGTCTACAATGATGGGGTGGCCCTTCCCTGGACCCCCCAGGCAGTCATGGGCTGTTGCATAGGCCCCTCCTGATCCCTTTGACCATGCAAAACCCCATCTAGACTGAAAAATTTCATTCACTCTCTCTCCCATTTTAGAAAAAATGGGCGGCTTCCTCGACGCGTCAAGACAACAGCCAGTGTACACCTCAGAGGTTCTTCCAGCTTGCCAGGTGAGCTTCAAACAGCCCAAGGCACCCTAGGAAACTGGTCAAAAATCAAATCCACCTTCTTTTTCTCTCTGTCTTTTTTTAAAGAGCTTGTGTAGACTTAAGACTTTCAGCAGGTTTAAGGGCAGCTATAGGAGCCCTTAAACCTGCTGAAAGTCTTAAGTCTACAATGATGGGGTGGCCCCTCCCTGGACCCCCCAGGCAGTCATGGGCTGTTGCAAAGGCCCCTCCTGATCCCTTTGACCATGCAAAACCCCATCTAGACTGAAAAATTTCATTCACTCTCTCTCCCATTTCAGAAAAAAAATTTAATTGAATAATTACCCCAGACACAATAAATGCCAAATGGGAACCTTTGTCAGGTAATCTAAGTAGTGCTACCACTAATTGTACCTGTAATAAATTCATTAACTGAGCATCAAGTGAATGACGACAAATACACAAGTGTAGGGTTATACGAGAAAACGTGGATGACAACAAGGGAGTAGTAATCGTATTATCGACGCAAGCCGAAATCCGAAAATGCTTTCACTGCATGAATACTTTTTTTAGTATTAAACTATAACCATCTGGGGTATTTCCAAATGACGACATCCGATGAGCTCCGCCGTTCTTTTTGTCTGTTTGTTTAGGCTGAAGAAATTAATTAACATGCGCCCTTTGTCAAAATCTTTATAGATCACAGTTAACCAATCAGTGTTTATGCAAAAATACGTAAAACAAATATTGCCTCCAGGCCTCCAAGTTTATTTAACTGTCCTTGCAGACGGTAGCCCAGTCTCTGGTCACGCTCAGTTGCGTTGCTTATCATCCGCGTACTCACGGGGAAAAAAACAATAACAAAGGCAACAACCAGTCCGGGGAATTGCGTTAGATCAGTGCCCCTTTAAGGGGCTCTTTACTTTTTATTGTTGTATCCAGCAAGTGATATCATTTGATTGATAACGGTGTTAGAACCTACACTGAAACGTCGCTCTTAATTGTAATAAAGAAGTTGTTCATCCAAAAATTCTTAACCTTGCTCACTATACAGTTTATATATTTTATGCATGTCATTATGTCATAAGAGTCAGTATTACACTAACAGTCAATATGTAGTCACACATAGTTATATAATAATGGATAGCAGGGGTAAAGTAAACAACTGCATCATTTCTAGTTTGATATAACTTATCTTGGTACATCAAGATTGTATTAAGTTTACTGAACAGAGTGTTTTCTATTTATCAATGAACAGTTTTTAAAAACAAATATTCATAAGACTGAAAATGCAATCTGTATATATTGGGGACATAATAAATGCACATAAAGTGTGTGTGTGTGTGTGGGGGGGGGGGGGGGGGTGAGGGTCTCATCTAAATATGGTGCTCTCACATGGGGGCAATGTGTTCTTTCATTCAATACACAACATGCTTTTGATCTCATTAATACAGAGAGCTGGCAGATTGTAAAAACCAATATTCATAAGACTTGTATACTTCATACTGATATTTCCACACTGAAGAGAGGTACTGCCAGAGACTATGGCAGGATGGGGACCCCAGCAACTGATAAATGGCGATCATATTACAAGTGTTCTCCCTGGGTCTGGGCAAAAAACACAAAGCACACATATTCAACAATTGTCAACAATTTAGGAAAACTAGTTTAATGTAGTATCATTTGTTTGCAGATGAGATTCCTGAATATCTGTCAGAATGTCAGATGATTTGAGGAAACAGACAGAGTCCAGTACATCCCAACCAATGGCAGGAGTAAGTACCAACACTAGGAATTCATACAATGATATGTATATGTTACTTTTTTTAACTCTATGTTTAGATCAAAGTTAATTTGATTAGGTACTTATGTTTACAAGTTCTACTTACATTAGATATCTAATGTTTTGGTCATTATTGTAAGATAGGATTTGTAGGTCCAGAATGAAATATATTCCTTTCCATTTTGTAAGGCATTGTAATGATTACTGTCAGGACATCATTTACTTCAGTTCCCACGGGTTTGTTTGTTCAATATTATTAGAACTGACATGCAATGTAACTAAAACAAGTAATGCAAAGTGCATGGTGGAACCAGGCCTTTATTTCTTAGTCTGAAGAAAAGTGATAACTTAATTGTTTCATGTAACTACTTCGTACACAGCAATATTTAAAATTCGGCAATAGCTGAACTATTGTGTCATGATGACATCTTGATATGTTTGTTAAGAATGGTATAATTAGTTTGTTCAATAATCATTAGAACAGAACAGGTACTCATACATCTCATGTTCATCTATTTTCCTGAAGTAATATTGCTTAGCCTTTGTATGATGTGGTGATAACTTCATGGTGTGACATTCTGTCCATTATACCATACTGTGAGTATGTATACCCAAATAAAGACACAAACTAAAGAGGAATCTTAGAAGATTTATCATTAGCTCACCCTGGGGTTAGGCTGTGTGTCTGCTACTGATCTATATAACACATTCTGCATGTAATTAGCTACAAACCACATGGACATTTCCCCACACAGACAGTTCCCTACATGACAATCTGTTCTTGTATATTGAGGGTCCTTCTACTTCTACAACATATGCTAAATAACTTGTTAATTTTTATGATTTTCCCATTACCATGAGCCTATGATGTGTACTTTTTATAGTGAGCATGACATTCCATTACAGTTCTGTATACCGTAATCTAGTGTTTTAAGTATGAATACTTGGCACTAAAATAGGGGCCATTTCTGCAAGTAGTAAACATTTTGAAAAGTTCTTTTCCAAGATGTGATTATGGGAAGGTTTTCTTTTCCTTCTTTACAATCATTAGGATAACCTGGTATTCTGAAAAACTGAAATAATGCATAGAATTAAGGGTTACATGTTTACATTGCCTGATTGTCTTTGGCTTTATTTACCATATAAAATACAATTTGAACACATTTCCGTGAATCTTGTGATTTGAAAGGCTGATATGGCAGTTATTATGAAAACAGTTACTCTATATGCAGTTTATTTTAAGACTAGCACCATGTTCCACATTCACAATCAATAAGAAAGAAATAGTTCTGAGTGTCTGTTTATTTGAATTTTCCTTGAATCCTAGAAATATGATTGTGGAAAATAGATTGTTAGTCATCATTCTTTTGTCAGCATCAGCAACCAAATATGAGGTGATGTAGAAGAACGTTATCACAAATTTTCAATGAACACTCGAGTACTTATTGGGAATTACAGTATGTGTTTTGAACAAATCATGTACTATTTCTCTTCTCTGGCTCAGCCTAACATGTTTCACTGCACATTGCCCAATGAGGGTGAGTTTCTGTATCTTTGATAATGTGTTTTTGTAGGATGACTAATGCACATAGTCAATAAATTTAGTAATATGAAAGAAAAGCCTGGTAAATATGATTATGGACATCATGTATGACATACAATTGAACATGATGTAATAGGTTTGCTTTTAATACATTTCAGGTAAAATGTTCAAGAAAAAGAAGTATTGGTGTGATTTCAAAGGAAAATTACGACTGCCTTAGATTAAAACTTGAAGGAGGTGACATTCCCAAGGATAGCAAGACTGTCAAGTTTTACTATGTCTGCCAAAAAATACGGAAGTTCAATTTATCTTTGACAGAAATTCACAACCCTGTCCAAGGAGAATATAGACTGGAGATTATTGATCGGGACAGGAAAATAGTGATATCAAAGTCAGAACTTGATAATGTCATCTGCAAATTTTACACTGAGTTGCGGGGTTCTGGAGCAAAGAAAATAAGAACATTGATAAACCAGTATTATGCTGGCATTTCTCAGGAAGCCATACAAGACTTTATAGACAGGCAAGATGACAGGCAACTGTTACGTCCTAAATTTGTTAATGCTGCCAAACTAAAGCCGGTGATCTCAAGAACACCAATGGGGCGACATCAGGTTGACCTTGTGGAACTAACTGGAATGCCTGCAGAAAATGATGGTGAAACATTCATTTACATCTTGTCTGTAATTGATGTTTTCACAAGAATCTTGTGGCTTCGGCCTCTTTCCAACAAAAGAGCCTGTTCAGTGGCATTGGAACTCCACAAAATCTACTTTGAGTATGGATTGGGAAATCCAAGAATCTTACAGTGCGATAAAGGCTCTGAGTTTAAAGGAGCAGTCAACCAACTCTGCATTGAAATGGGAACGAAGATTGTCCGAAGTCGGGCTCACCATCCCCAATCTCAGGGAAAGGTGGGTGACAAATTTCAATCAAAACATGCACACTATAAACGTTGAGGTAATAGATGTAGATACTTAATAGTAAGAACATTAATGTTGATGTTATTTGGAACATGTCATCTTTAGGGCAGAGCCACACTTGCATGTGTGTGACAGATGACACCGGTGGGGCAGGATACACTAACCTTCGTGAACACCTGCTACTATCACTATTTTATGTTGATTCATAACACATGCTTATGATATTGATGGAATCATTCAGTGGACCCAGCTTTTAGAAGAGGTGTCTTATGATTATGGAAACTGTTTTTGTTATATATTTCATATATTTCATATACATGGTATAACACTTGTGCACACTTTTTGTGCCTGCCTAATCTGTTTGCTATTTAGATGTTAATTTATTTCAGAGTGAACGATCACACCGGGATTGGAAAAGCCATCTGGAATTTGATCACAGCAAACATGGTGATGGAGAAAGCTTCAACTGGGTGGAAAAGTTGCCAGCATATGCTAGAATACACAATGAAAGCATTCATTCTGCACTTGGTAAAGTTTGAATATATAGCTTTAATTTAATGTGGGCATATGTCACAAAGTGTGAAGCACATAATGTAAGCATATACTTTTCAGACTGTAAGCATCGTAAATGTTGATGTGTGACATTGAATTTATTTTACTCACTGACAAACAAATAACCATTATGACACAGTTAAATGATGATGGCTCATTACAGAAGGTACAACAGTTTCATAGTTGACCAGGTATTGACCAAAATATAGTTGCATGCACCCTTCAGGCTACTGCAAATTTATAGAACTCTGGAAATATCAATATTGCCACAGTGCAGTTGTGACATTTATTGTTGAAGAAGACATGAGAAACACAGGCTTGTATTTAAACATAATTCCTATGTTAACAGGTTGTTCACCATACAAGGCCATGCTGGGCTGCCCTCCAGTACACTTCAAGAATGTGTTGAGAGCTGGGAATACAGTTGATGCATACTCTTGCTCTGAAGAAGATGAGCAGTGCGAACTATCTGCAGGGAGTGATGAGGTATGGAGGATTTATGTCATTACGCATAACAAGAGACAAACTCATCTATATACCCCGCCCATTGTCTAGTTTTAAATACAATGCTACGTGCAATCAAATGTGACATTGTAAATTATCAGTTTGTCTCACCTCCTTGTAGAAGAGGTTGAATACAAGAGCTAATATAACATCTCCATAAACTTTGTACATCTGCTTTAGTAAAACTTTAATGATAAACAAAGGTTATAATCATCTTCAAGTTTGTGTAAGCTAAGAATATTTAGATATCATGCATGGTATTATAGAGCATTGTTTTCAGGCAGGTATTGTTGCAGCCCTTTATAGGTACATGTAGTTACCAGAGTAAGGTACACGGTACAGATAAGGTACAAAAGTTGTAAGCATGCTGACACCTCAAAACCTGGTGAATTTCTAATACATCTACAATTAATGCTTTTATGGATTTTGTTGCAGTGTCTACTGGTGTGTCATTTAATTAGAATAAGAAAATAAATCATATTTTGAAGTTTTTTAAAGAAAAAAGACTCTATAATAGCCATAGACTGATATTGTACAAAGTTTCATGAAGATATTTTAAACGGTTTTCGGGTTCTGCTCTGGTAAACCCCACTGCTTCCATTCAGTTCAGAGACTAAGTCAAAATTTCAAAACTTTATACAAAATAAAAAGACAAATTTGTAGGTGCAGGGGATAATAACTGTCATCGGGTCCTGTAAACCTGTGCAATAATGACAGGAGATGTGACAAGTAGAGACATGTACATAGAACTATTTCAACTGCAAGATATTAGAAGTAATGATATGTTTAGAATATGAGGTAAAACTACATGTGAAGTGGAAGTGATATTATTTGACGTTTATGTTAGATATGTGGACATTAAAACATGGTAAATGTAATACTTTATTATTCTTTAGGATACTGGAGACGAATATGGCTTTAATGAGAGAATAGAAGCAATCACAAACCTCAGGAAAAATGTGCTGCAGGCGTCACTGACCAAATCATCAGAAATGATTCAAAAACACCACGAAAACAAGGACACATCAGTGTACAAGATAGGGGATGAAGTTCTGGTGAGGGTTCATGGAAAAGATACCAGAGTCAAACGAGGTGGGCCCAAAAAAGGGATGAAAAAATGCAAGGAAGGAACTATTGTCGAAATAGATTCCCAGAACTCCCAATTCAAGGTTGCCTATCCAAACAAGCATGTGCAGTGGGAGCAGGTGTGTGACATTACTTCTCGGACAAGAAAAGAAGAGAAGAGGAGAAGAATGAGGACATATGAAGGTACATATTTCCAGTAGTAGTTTATGAATATTATGTAATTAGCAAGTATGTTTAATAATGTATTTTAAATAAAATAGTTCTTACAGAATAGATGACATCATCTATCTTGGTGGACTGCAAAGACATGATGTTTGTAATGTATTTGCTGTTTTTATCATTTCCTCTACCCAAAGTAAGTGCAGTTGGAGATACAGAAACGAGATCAGTGTGTCCATCTGTCACATTTTGTATCAAGAGCATTCAATATTTCCTCATGGACCCTCACAATTGGTGCCTTTTCCCATGCTGGAATGTTTATAATATTTCATTTGCATTTTCATGGCAAACGGTTGGTTCAAATGAGGGTGGGGTTTGTTTCCAGAGCACAATTCATAAACCATTGCGTATTTCTTCATGAAACTTTATATACACATCAGGCAGGTTCTGTTATTCTGCTATTCAGTTTCTTTGGTAGACTTTTATATTTTGCATTTCTAAGAAAATACCAAGTTGGAAAGCTAAGCAGAACAGTTATCAAAGATGATACAACTCATGTTGCTACTGCAGGTTGAAAAAGGTCTCCAGCAATACATGCTTGAGGTGACTAATTTGACCAGGTGATCGGGTAACTTGGTTTATTCTATGACATGGTACCCAGACAGTGTGGATGTTGCTAATACTGCAGTGTTAATTAAAAGAGAAGTAACAGCATCATACTTAAAATCAGGAACATACATTAATTAATGTTTTTGCTGTTGTGGAATTATGGTTCAGAATTTTGCAAGTATTATATGGATCATAGCAAATGTAATTACATGCAATTACTAATTCACGACTTTGCAAGGCATTGAAATAATTTGGTGTAGTCATTAATTGTTATGTCATTTGTACTAAAATCTTAGGATTAATGTGGTATATGATACTTCCTGTGATATTATACATTACTTACAAGGGACATTCATTGGTTTGTCTTCTTGGAACGAAAGCTAACATTGACACAGGAGGTTAGGTGGTATACAAAACACAACTGATCAAGGGTCTGGAATCAAACTGCAGTCAATGGTTGAAGCATTTGTTGATTTTCAGTTCAGTTCAGTTCCTTAACCAGTTAAATTGGTTGCTCTGTGATATGTTGGTATGTGCAGAAGAAGGCATAAATGTGATAATTTCATATATTTTTCTAACAGATGCTCTGCCAGATGCAAGAGAAGAGGCTAGAAAGCTACTCAAAAGGGGAAAAACACAGGATGAAAAAGGTATTACAATTTGAGACACCTCATAGGAATCTTCTGGAACGGTTAGTCTCCAAAACATTCGGCATATGCATGACCACTTGCATGCATGCATGCACAATAAGAAGGGTAATCAATACTTGTACAAATTTTCCACCTTTCAGAGTACATTTACACATATTGAACACTTCAACGGAATAAATGTTTTCAAAATAAAATAAATGTAAAGCATTACTTTATCCTGAAGGTATATGCTTGCACTTGGCGATGTATGTTTGTACTTTTAAGGAAAGGGAGAACAACAGGCTCAAACCAAGAGGAGAGACAATTCAGAAACAAAAGGTAATATCTGAATACAGATGGGTACGATCAACAAGACTTATCAATCCTAGATGCATAATTATATCTGTTGGAAGGAGTACACAAATTCTCCATATAATGTTGTGTCAGTTGCTCATATGTCTTCCTGTATATCATGCACATCTGAAATGGTTCATTGTCTCAGCTGAAAAATACTACATCAGTACATGTATTGCAGAACATTACAGTTGTTTCCATAAAAAACAATATACTAAGAGATATATTACAGGTCAATTTGTGTTACTTATATAATGCGTCTATGCAGGACGCCAGAAGACGTCAACTATGAAAGAACTGGAGATGGAGGCCTCATTCTATGACCTTGACATTGTGGACAATGAAGGGGCTGGTAACTGCATGTTTATTGCATTGGCTCAACAGCTTCAAATACATGACATTGACATAATCAGCCATAAACATCTGCGAGAAAAGGTTGTGCAATATGTGCAGGTAAGTAAACAATAATGCATACTTTCAATTTTCTTAGGGTAGGAATTTGATATAGTGAATAAAATGTGAAAGCCTAATTGGGCTGAAGCCATGTCCTATTTGTTTGGAATCATGTTATTCTTAGAAATCAGTGGACCAGCTGAAAATTTGGCATGCAAGTTTGTTCAGATTATTACACCTCAATGGATTTAAAAAGTTTATATTTGTTATCATTATGAACATTGATAAGCAATAAGATTGTTTACAATAACGGCAGTACATTTGATTTGGTGAATTTCAATTTTTATCCAGTAATGAATTCCACATATCTTTTTTTGTGTTACTGAAATTTTGGCTTACAGGACGAAACCTCAAAGCTTATGAAGCAAAGGTTTGCCTGAATGGTATTAGTTTTTATTGTCTCTGAAAAGTACTCACATATTTTGGATCTTATGTTAAATATGTCAATGACAATTTGCTCTCAACCTTTCCATCAAATATATTTTCATTAATTCTTCTTACGTTATGTGAGCTAGAGAGTCATGGGGCTCTATTGGTGATGCCCTTGACATTGATTAAACTTCTTTTATTTAAAACAAGATAAACGAATGGTTGTCCCAATGAAGGAAACATCCCTGATCAGGTCAGCCTGTTTAGTAGGGTATATTACTTTCAAATGTTTTGGATATATTATGAGACACCTCTTAATATTGAGAATTTAAGTTTTTAAAAATTGCATGACAGTTGTCAGATAAGGTGTGTAAAATAAGCTGAATATTCACTTTTATCTGCCACATATGTACATGTACAGTTCTAATAGGTTTCATACTTCCGCAGCTGATTTATATTACATTATAAAATTTGTTTTACTTTTGACCTCATAAAGAGTTATCAGGACCTTAAAAGGCATTTAAAACATGTGATGGCTGAAATTTTGTACAGAAAGGCTGTATACACATTCTAAATGAGCAAGTCTAAAATTATTATGCAAAGTGGCTCTTTTAGGTTACAGTATAAACCACTGACTTTATATTCAGTTGGGCTGTATGAATAATTTCTGATACTTTATGTTTACCCCAATAAATAGGTTCAAGTAAATTTTGAAAGGCATATAGATTGGGATGAGGTGAAATGGGACTAAACTTTGCATTTAAGGTAAATGCACTTATACAGCAAGCCAGTGAAAACTGTTTTTTCATTAGCTCATCTTGAATTTTCACTTTTTCCAATTTTGGGCAAACATAAAAACACTTGACCAAATTCATGGAACCTGATGAATTGCACAATTTCAATTCATTATCTATGCATGTTGCATTTAACATAAAGATGCAAGTACCAGTACTTCCCCATGGGGGTCATGCAAAATGGTATCTTCTGACAATGTGAGGTTTGTCACTTGTAGAGATTTTGTACCATTTTAGCTTAGAACTTAGATGACTATACAACACTACATTGAGGCATGTTTTTTGTTGTTGTTTTTTTCATTTTATGTGTATTACATGTAGTATAAGAAGAAAGAAGAACAGTAACATTTCTCAGTCTCACACTAACTGAACATGTTTTAGGGCAAGCAGTGTCTGTTCAAGGACTTCGTGGATAAAAACCATTATCCAACATTCAGAGACTATATCATCAAGATGAAGATGTTGGGGGAATGGGGAGACAACATCATTCTGCAGGCAACAGCTGACCTCTATAAGGTGACCATCAGGATCATTACAACAATTGCAAATGAGCCTACATTCATTCGTCCAGCTGAATACCGAGGAGACATGCCAGTACTAAGCATAGGCCACTTGTGGGGGCTGCATTGTGTGACACTCATACCAATGTCCACAGAAGGAGGTTTGTCCTTTATTGATGGTACAGTTAAAATAATTATGGCAGGTCACCATGTCAAAGCATTCAGAACTTGTGTAAAGTTTTTGCAATATATACCTATAACATTACATATTACTCAAAACGGTTGATTCTGTCTTCACGCTAAAACAAAGCCCAATAATGCCTAGCATTGTGCAAGTGCCAGCATGTGCATGTTCTTTAAGTTAAGAACTAAATTACACTTGGATCGTCACATTGAGACCGTGGCATGTACCTATTATCAGATATAAATTTATGACATCTCTGACCACAGAGACATCAGTATATTACTATATTGGTACTGAACATTTCATATATTCACAGAATCATTGGAAATTAAGGATGGAGAGCTAATATAAGTATACTTCTGACATTAACCATTTCATACTTATCATATACAGAAAAAACATTCTTGTATTCATTCATATGCTTGTTACTTGTACAAGGATTACGCATACTGGTTCCACATCTCACATACAATCATGTTTCATTTTAAGAGAAAGAGACGGAAGCAGCTAATGACACCAAAATGGACACAGAAGATGAATCAGATTCAGATTCAAAGTATCCAATCAACACTGCTGTATGGGAACACAAGGCATGTCCAAACCCAATGCAACACCTACAACAAGACATTTCCTGATTATTGTGTCAGTTGCTTAATGATAGATCCATTAATGTTTTCAGTATGAAATATTAACCAAAGATGATTTCAGATGTACTTTTGTTTTAATATTTTTTTTCTAAAAATTATATCTGAGTAAACAGTACTCTTGTATTACCTTCATAAATGTTTTTGCCATGGTGCCTTCATATTTCACAATACATTATTTGAAAGTTTAGCTTAACAATTGTAAGAGGCACATGTCAGTTGCTGCCATTAGATACCTGATAAGAAGGTATTATTCACTCTCAGTAAGATGTTTTCTTAAACTTGTGTTAATGATGTTTCCCTTTACTAAAATTTATACAGAAAGAAAATGTAGTGGCACACATGCAGAGAATTGCTGCAAGAGATGCACCGTGAGTTTTGTTGGCAGATAACTTGGAATGACTTTCAATCCAGATATAGTAATAACTGGGTTTTTATTCCAGTTGCTTTCTCATAGTGTTTGATTTACTCCTAACCTGTGTTTGTGGGTTTTACCAAAACGAAACAAGTTAAAACAATGAATTATTGAAGTACCATTAAAACACGAAGCACTAATTGAAGTCCTGAATGAATACTGTGTTAGAACAAGTCTCTAGCAACCTATGCTTGTCACACCAGGAGACTTAATGGATACTGTGTTAGAACTAGTCCCTAGCAACCTATGCTTGTCACACCAGGAGACTTAATGGATACTGTGTTAGAACTAGTCCCTAGCAACCTATGCTTGTCACACTAGGAGACTTAATGGATACTGTGTTAGAACTAGTCCCTAGCAACCTATGCTTGTCACACCAGGAGACTTAATGGATACTGTGTTAGAACTAGTCCCTAGCAACCTATGCTTGTCACACCAGGAGACTTAATGGATACTGTGTTAGAACTAGTCGCTAGCAACCTATGCTTGTCACACTAGGAGACTTAATGGATACTGTGTTAGAACTAGTCCCTAGCAACCTATGCTTGTCACACCAGGAGACTTAATGGATACTGTGTTAGAACTAGTCGCTAGCAACCTATGCTTGTCACACCAGGAGACTTAATGGATACTGTGTTAGAACTAGTCCCTAGCAACCTATGCTTGTCACACCAGGAGACTTAATGGATACTGTGTTAGAACTAGTCCTTAGCAACCTATGCTTGTCACACTAGGAGACTTAATGGATACTGTGTTAGAACTAGTCCCTAGCAACCTATGCTTGTCACACTAGGAGACTTAATGGATGCTGTGTTAGAACTAGTCCCTAGCAACCTATGCTTGTCACACTAGGAGACTTAATGGATACTGTGTTAGAACTAGTCCCTAGCAACCTATGCTTGTCACACTAGGAGACTTAATGGATACTGTGTTAGAACTAGTCCCTAGCAACCTATGCTTGTCACACCAGGAGACTTAATGGATACTGTGTTAGAACTAGTCCCTAGCAACCTATGCTTGTCACACCAGAGACTCAATGGATCAGGTGGTAAATCTCTGTGACCCTGGATGAATTTATGACATCATACATTATGACTGTGAGAACTTTGCTCATAACACTGAACAACAAACACTCACTTTAGATATGTTTTTCAGTGAGGAACACTTTAAAGGCATGATGAGTTTGTCAGCGGCTTCCCAACACCAAACCGAAGAGTCAATTTTGCAGAGGGATATCTGTCTCAATATGTATGTACCTTCTCAAATGTGACAGTTGCCTCATATATTATTTTTAACAAACATCCTTCCAATCATTGCTCATGAAAACGTTACATGAAAATTTGTGAGCTATTTCAATGCAAGACCATGCTTTAAGGATTGTGTACATGATAACTTACAGCCCTGTCATTTGGGACTCCTTGAAGGATCTGGTGGAATAGGAGAGCTAATGTTGTCTTCGGGGATATTCTCATGTATATATATTCTGGCAGCTTATTGATTCCTACAATCGATACCACCTCAATTTCAAAGGAATATCAGTCAAGCTGTCCATTCTTTTGATATATAAAAATGGGTTCAATCTGTCATTGTATTCTGTTGAGAACAGTGCACAGATTATTGAACAAATACCCACCTGAAGGTTTTTGGTTACACCTACTGAGAAAGCATTACTACTTCCATCACCAAACGAGACTTGGTAAACTACAATAACATGAAATTTCATGTAGGTAAGAAGATACTATGACAATGCATTGAGATAACCTGTCAGATAGTTTTAAGAGTGAATAATTCATTATAGGTACTTTAGTACATTCAGGTTTGGAAACTGTGGCATAATAAGAATTGTTTTCCTATGAATAACACTGTAGACATAGAAGGAAGTAATCAACCAGTGTGAGAGCATGGAAGTCATACTGCATACTGCATTAAGTATATGTTTTGTCTGACTTCTAGGAACGTCTGTACCATTTTTATTTAGATAATTTAGTTCATGCAATTACTAGGTTAAATTGGAATTGGACCTTCTTGTTGGATCTGTTCCTGTAGTAGCCATGTGCTCAGGTCCTTGCCCATCTGTTTCTTTATGCATATGAATCAGAACTTCTGCTCGGATTGGCAAAATAAAAAACACAGGAATTTAGTCAAGAATTTTTACTTTAGATTCCTGTATATCAATGATCTGAAATTGTTCAATAATGTAAGTAGCCATTCCCTTCCACTGAACTGGAAATAAAAGAGACTAGTACATCTGTTTTATATTTTGGTCTATGCATAAGGATTCAGAGTGACAGTAAAGTATACACAAGGCTAGAACAAATAGGATGACGTCAACTTTCTAGTACTCAACTATGCTTTTATGTCTGACCATTTTCAAACAGCTACAGCCTTTTAAGGTACAACTGAGCGTGCTCTTTCTACAAAGTTTTTCAAAGAGTGCCATACAACTCTTGCTTCAAACTTGTTTGATCAAGGCTACAATATTCAAGGCCTCAGCAAGCTTTCAAAACATTTCATGGTAGACATGTGGAAGCCATTTCCAACTTTAATGCATTAATGACCAAATTGATGTCCCATGCAATTCCTTTTTTTGACTTGTACCATATGTTCCCATATTTATTTAGGTGTCACGAGTCTTGCCTTTGCATGTGTTTGTGATTGGTGTCATAAGTGGGAAATGACACCCTCACCTTTCTTTGAACACCCTGTATTGACAGTTGTTCATAAAAACATGCTTGTGATATGGTGAAACTCGTAAAAAAGACTTCCCTTTAAGCAGAAATTTCACATGATAATAGAAAGGGATTTGTTGATTTATTTTTTTTATGTTTATGAAAATGTTTTTTCCACTTTTATTCCCACACACAGTATTTTTATCTGAAAGTGCATGGTGGTAAGTCATGAGGAAATTGTGGTGCCCCTGTTGTCACAAGTACAATTTAAACACGTTCCAAATTAACTTGTGCTTTTAACTAAAACGAAATGTTATTAGTGTTGCTATATCTGCTTATATTTGCTTAACTACTTACTTCATTACATAACAAGACGTGTATTCCCTATATATTTTGCATACTTTTATTATTGTTTCAGATGCAGCAAAAAATGCTTCAGTACTTGATATCAGCTTTGACATTAACAAGACTGAAAGATACACGGTATTAAATATTAATATTTTATGACACTTTGTGAAACAGGTTGTTTCAAATAATTCCTGATAACATACATTATATTTAAGTTTTGAGGTTATACCAGAGGAATGAGACAGATACCATGATTGGCTTAATGTTACATTTATTTGCATTTACTAAAAATGTATTGTAGGATTGGCTTTCGTTTTCATTCATGGAATGTCATGTAAATTTCTGATGAAGTACTCTACACATGACCCATATTGCCATCAAATAAGCAACAATGCAGGCAGTTAACTGCCAAACACACTGACATATAGACACTTCCACTTGACATGTAATAAACCAAGTCATCGAACCTGACCATCAGATAAATTAGGTATATATGTTGGTATGGACCTATGTTCTGTCCCATGGGGTACTTACCCAACAGTTGACTATGATGAAATGTTGGATTTCTTTGTTGATACAGGAGGATATACTCGGGGAGTATGCGACTGTTCAAGTGCAAGGTTGAAAAGAAGCTGGAACTTTTAACGCAAAAGAACATGATGTAAGAATACCTTTATGTTGAAAAAACACATGATTTACGCCACCATGGTCTAGTGGATAGAGCATCCACCTGGAGAGAAGAGGGTCGTGGGTTCGACCCTCAGCCACGTCATACCAAAAGACGATAAAAGGTTGTACTTGTTTCTACCCTGTCTGGTGCTCGACAATAAGGGGCTAAAACAAGTACTAGTTGGGTCGGAGTCAGCAAACTGTATTAAAGGTTACACAATTTGCGTTAGCAATCTTTTAACGTCTTTTGGTATGAGGCAGCCGGAGATCAAACCCTAATGTTCCTGCTCTCAGGGCAGACAATCTTCCTATAGTCCATGGAGGTGATCAGCTATTTTTCTTTTACTCACCAAAAACCTTATTAAGGTATTGATAAGGAACATAAACTGTCATAATATGTTATGTTATAATGTCTTTCAACAATACACATGAGGAAGAGAATTTATTATGAGGAACACAACGTTTCAGAGTATACACTTACTCCTTCATCAGGTGAATGAATGCTATGAGGCAGAGAATATGTATGTATGTATGTATGTATGTATGTATGTATGTATGTATGTATGTATGTATGTATGTATGTATGTATGTATGTATGTATGTATGTATGTACCTGTAAGAACAACAAAAGTAAAAAGATAACAAAGGTGGTAACTTAACAAGGGAAGCCAACTGATAATTGGTGCTGATAGGTGATTACCAAAGAAAAAATGGAAGCCAACACTTAACAGTAAATTGGCACTGACAGGTAAAAGAATAGAATGTTGCTCATGGGGTACACAGTTCCAGTGACTGTCATGTTCAAATAACAAAAGTCAGTATGAGATGGTCAAATATTTTTGCCTGTCATTGTACCCAGTTAATGTCATGGACTGGTTATCTGTCATCTGAGTAAACATCTTCTCCTTCGGGGTGGTAGGGCAGCCTACTGGTTAAGCATTTACTCATCAAGCTGAAGACCCGGATTCGATTCCCCACATGGGTACAATGTGCGAAGCCCCTTTCTGATGTCTCTCTTCTCCTTAGAAACCACATAAACAATGACACTGAAACATCACATACTTGTTCCAATGATGTCACATGTGTTAACCAAATATTTCAGTAAGGCTGCAATTTCTGGATATATTCATTGCGTTTTCTTTAAATAGTTCTATGACAATGAATGAATGACAATGCTTACAACAAATCCTGTTAGATGACTGGCTTTGTTGATATTTCAAACTGTTGCGTACATGTGTTGATGTCTTTGTGAGCTACGGTGCTTTAGTCAATTGTTTTTACATAAACATATGTTTTTTCACACTTCAGAGCTGCCACAGATTACCTGATGTATGTTGGGGTAAAGGAAGCTATAATTCATATTCTGATGGATGTGCTGAATAAACCCTATGAAGAAGTCAACCATGAATGTAAATCAACAGAATTTGATGCCAGTCAAGTTCCAGGGAGGGGTGTCCACATCACTGTGGATGACGAATAATGATGGCTTGGTTCACACAGGGAGGATTAAAATGCCTCTGTTATACAGGATGACTGACTTGCTGGATGTGTTGTGATGATTGTGCTTGCACACTGATATCAACACCCACATATATTATCTTTACAAGAAAAGTAATTTGATGTACATGAACCACAGTGACATGTCATTTTGTAACATTAGTATTTCTTTGTATGACAATGTGTGAATTTATTAGGGCTGCAACGGGTAACTCGGGTACCTGGGTCGGGTGGGTACTGAGTAGGACCCGGGTACCCACAGGACTGCCTGGACCCATGGTTAGTCATGTGATATATTGTTTAATGACAAAAATTATCTCGAACTCTATGCTTACACTAAAAGTCACTCATGTTCGCATGTTCTGACTATGCACCCATTCCTTCTGACTTAGGCTCTCCTTTTGGCCACTGATAGTAAATCCCATTTCTAAGTTGAGAGCAGAATATGAATGCTATGGGTCAATATTTCTAATTTTAAGAGATTTTTTACTATATTATTACTCATGTCCCCTCGACACGAAAGCCGATAACGCCTATAAACTCGACATATAAAGGAATCTGAAGATTTTCTTTTGGCTACTGATAGTAAATAACATTTCAAACCTGTCAGCATGTTGACTATATTATCACTCATGTCCCCTCGACCAGAAATGGGTTAACGCCTATAAACTTGACATATAATGGAATCTTAAGATTTTCTTTTGGCTACTGATAGTAAAAACAATTTCTAACTCGAGAGAAGAATATGAATCCTATGGGTCAATATTTCTAATTTTAAGAGATATTTTACTATATTATTACTCATGTCCCCTCAACCAGAAATGGGATAACGCCTATAAACTCGACAAATAATGGAATCTGAAGATTTTCTTTTAGCTACTGATAGTAAATACCATTTCAAACCTGTCAGCAAAGCCTAAATGCTATAGGACAATATTTCTAATTTTAAGAGATTTTTGACTATATTATTACTCATGTCCCCTCGACCAGAAATGGGATAACGCCTATAAACTTGACATATAATGGAATCTTAAGATTTTGTTTTGACTACTGATAGTAAATCCCATTTCTAACTTGAGAGCAGAATATGAATGCTATGGGACAATATTTCTAATCTTAAGAGATTTTTGACTATATTATTACTCATGTCCCCTAGACCAGAAATGGGATAACGCCTATAAACTTGACATATAATGAAATCTTAAGATTTTGTTTTGACTACTGATAGTAAATCCCATTTCTAACTTGAGAGCAGAATATGAATGCTATGGGTCAATATTTCTAATTTTAAGAGATTTTTTACTATATTATTACTCATGTCCCCTCGACCAGAAAGCCTATAACGCCTATAAACTCGACATATAAAGGAATCTGAAGATTTTCTTTTGGCTACTGATAGTAAATAACATTTCAAACCTGTCAGCATGTTGACTATATTATCACTCATGTCCCCTCGACCAGAAATGGGTTAACGCCTATAAACTTGACATATAATGGAATCTTAAGATTTTCTTTTGGCTACTGATAGTAAAAACAATTTCTAACTCGAGAGAAGAATATGAATCCTATGGGTCAATATTTCTAATTTTAAGAGATTTTTGACTATATTATTACTCATGTCCCCTCAAACAGAAATGGGATAACGCCTATAAACTCGACAAATAATGGAATCTGAAGATTTTCTTTTAGCTACTGATAGTAAATACCATTTCAAACCTGTCAGCAAAGCCTAAATGCTATAGGACAATATTTCTAATTTTAAGAGATTTTTGACTATATTATTACTCATGTCCCCTAGACCAGAAATGGGATAACGCCTATAAACTTGACATATAATGAAATCTTAAGATTTTGTTTTGACTACTGATAGTAAATCCCATTTCTAACTTGAGAGCAGAATATGAATGCTATGGGTCAATATTTCTAATTTTAAGAGATTTTTTACTATATTATTACTCATGTCCCCTCGACCAGAAAGCCTATAACGCCTATAAACTCGACATATAAAGGAATCTGAAGATTTTCTTTTGGCTACTGATAGTAAATAACATTTCAAACCTGTCAGCATGTTGACTATATTATCACTCATGTCCCCTCGACCAGAAATGGGTTAACGGCTATAAACTTGACATATAATGGAATCTTAAGATTTTCTTTTGGCTACTGATAGTAAAAACAATTTCTAACTCGAGAGAAGAATATGAATCCTATGGGTCAATATTTCTAATTTTAAGAGATTTTTGACTATATTATTACTCATGTCCCCTCAACCAGAAATGGGATAACGCCTATAAACTCGACATATAATGGAATCTTAAGATTTTGTTTTGACTACTGATAGTAAATCCCATTTCTAACTTGAGAGCAGAATATGAATGCTATGGGTCAATATTTCTAATTTTAAGAGATTTTTGACTATATTATTACTCATGTCCCCTCAACCAGAAATGGGATTACGCCTATAAACTCGACAAATAATGGAATCTGAAGATTTTCTTTTAGCTACTGATAGTAAATAACATTTCAAACCTGTCAGCAAAGCCTAAATGCTATAGGACAATATTTCTAATTTTAAGAGATTTTTGACTATATTATTACTTATGTCCCCTCGACTAGAAATGGGATAACGCCTATAAACTTGACATATAATGGAATCTTAAGATTTTCTTTTGGCTACTGATAGTAAGTCCCATTTCTAAGTTGAGAGCAGAATATGAATGCTATGGGTCAATATTTCTAATTTTAAGAGATTTTTGACTATATTATTACTCATGTCCCCTCGACCAGAAAGCGGATAACGCCTATAAACTTGACATATAAAGGAATCTGAAGATTTTCTTTTGGCTACTGATAGTAAATACCATTTCAAACCTGTCAGCATGTTGACTATATTATCACTCATGTCCCCTCGACCAGAAATGGGATAACGCCTATAAACTTGACATATAATGGAATCTTAAGATTTTGTTTTGACTACTGAAAGTAAGTCCCATTTCTAAGTTGAGAGCAGAATATGAATGCTATGGGTCAATATTTCTAATTTTAAGAGATTTTTGACTATATTATTACTTATGTCCCCTCGACTAGAAATGGGATAACGCCTATAAACTTGACATATAATGGAATCTTAAGATTTTCTTTTGGCTACTGATAGTAAGTCCCATTTCTAAGTTGAGAGCAGAATATGAATGCTATGGGTCAATATTTCTAATTTTAAGAGATTTTTGACTATATTATTACTCATGTCCCCTCGACCAGAAAGCGGATAACGCCTATAAACTTGACATATAAAGGAATCTGAAGATTTTCTTTTGGCTACTGATAGTAAATACCATTTCAAACCTGTCAGCATGTTGACTATATTATCACTCATGTCCCCTCGACCAGAAATGGGATAACGCCTATAAACTTGACATATAATGGAATCTTAAGATTTTCTTTTGGCTACTGATAGTAAAAACAATTTCTAACTCGAGAGCAGAATATGAATCCTATGGGTCAATATTTCTAATTTTAAGAGATTTTTGACTATATTATTACTCATGTCCCCTCAACCAGAAATGGGATAACGCCTATAAACTCGACATATAATGGAATCTTAAGATTTTGTTTTGACTACTGATAGTAAATCCCATTTCTAACTTGAGAGCAGAATATGAATGCTATGCGACAATATTTCTAATTTTAAGAGATTTGTGACTATATTATTACTCATGTCCCCTCGACCAGAAATGGGATAACGCCTATAAACTTGACAAATAATGGAATCTGAAGATTTTCTTTTAGCTACTGATAGTAAATACCATTTCAAACCTGTCAGCAAAGCCTGAATGCTATGGGTCAATATTTCTAATTTTAAGAGATTTTTGACTATATTATTACTCATGTCCCCTCGACCAGAAATGGGATAACGCCTTTACACTCGACAAATAATGGAATCTTAAGATTTTGTTTTGACTACTGATAGTAAATCCAATTTGTTACTTGAGAGCAGAATATGAATGCTATGCGACAATATTTCTAATTTTAAGAGATTTTTGACTATATTATTACTCATGTCCCCTAGACCAGAAATGGGATAACGCCTATAAACTTGACATATAATGGAATCTTAAGATTTTGTTTTGACTACTGATATTAAATCCAATTTGTTACTTGAGAGCAGAATATGAATGCTATGCGACAATATTTCTAATTTTAAGAGATTTTTGACTATATTATTACTCATGTCCCCTCGACCAGAAATGGGATAACGCCTATAAACTCGACAAATAATGGAATCTGAAGATTTTCTTTTAGCTACTGATAGTAAATACCATTTCAAACCTGTCAGCAAAGCCTGAATGCTATGGGACAATATTTCTTATTTTAAGAGATTTTTGACTATATTATCACTCATGTCCCCTCGACCAGAAATGGGATATCGCCTATAAACTTGACATATAATGGAATCTTAAGATTTTGTTTTGACTACTGATAGTAAATCCAATTTGTTACTTGAGAGCAGAATATGAATGCTATGCGACAATATTTCTAATTTTAAGAGATTTTTGACTATATTATCACTCATGTCCCCTCGACCAGAAATGGGATAACGCCTATAAACTTGACATATAATGGAATCTTAAGATTTTGTTTTGACTACTGATAGTAAATACCATTTCTAACTTGAGAGCAGAATATGAATGCTATGCGACAATATTTCTAATTTTAAGAGATTTTTGACTATATTATCACTCATGTCCCCTCGACCAGAAATGGGATAACGCCTATAAACTTGACATATAATGGAATCTTTAGATTTTGTTTTGACTACTGATAGTAAATCCAATTTGTTACTTGAGAGCAGAATATGAATGCTATGCGACAATATTTCTAATTTTAAGAGATTTTTGACTATATTATTACTCATGTCCCCTCGACCAGAAATGGGATAACGCCTATAAACTTGACATATAATGGAATCTTAAGATTTTGTTTTGACTACTGATAGTAAATACCATTTCTAACTTGAGAGCAGAATATGAATGCTATGGGACAATATTTCTAATTTTAAGAGATTTTTGACTATATTATTACTCATGTCCCCTCGACCAGAAATGGGATAACGCCTTTTAACTCTACATATAATGGAATCTTCAGGGATGTGAAATCTCCGCGGAAACGCGGAAAATCGCGTTTTTTAAAACAGTAGTCCTCGGGAAAAATCATGTTCCGCGTAAAAATTTAATCATAAATTAAGAAAAAACACTCGGAAAAATATGATCGAAAACCGGACAACCGTCGCTGATTGTCCTGTTTTCGATCAGAGCTTTCACCAGCATAGGTTTTCGGACATCATACGTTTTCTATCACGAATACTTGTACTATAACGTGGGGTGTGGCGTCACACAGAAATTGTAAATACTCAGAGTCAGCTGATGGCTTGTTTTTAAGATAAAGTTGTCTTTTAGCCTGTAAGTGAATGAGATGTTTTACAGTTGTTCATGTGATTA